CGTTAGTTTATATAATATAAAATAAATATACTTTATTATTTATATATCTAGACTAAAAATAAAAATAGAAAAAATCATTTTGCATTTAATTTTTTTTCACCTTTATCGGTCGTAAAATATATATTTTTATCGGTCGTAAAATATATATTTTCTTACTCTGCATTCCTAATGTGGATAAAATAGTTCGTTGTCTCATGGTTAACTTTTGCTTATTGTTTAAACTTTTTTTTTAAAATTTCTTCCATGTTTACATTATTTTAATAATACTAAAGAGATTTATTAAATTATTGTGTTAAAAAATTATTTTGGATTTGTTGTTCGATTTGATTAATTAAATTGATTTTTTTTTTGAAACTGCAAACTAATTTACTTATAACATCGTCATCTATGTCGCAAACGAGAATTGAACTCATGATCTCTTAAATGAGAAAGTCATTATCTACCACTTGACCAAAGACCAATTATGATTTTATTAAATGAGAAAGCCAAAAAAATTTAACACCAAAAGCAACACGGGACCCTAGTCTGCGAGACCAAGCGTCTGTGCACTGTCTGCGCGGCGCAAACATAAAAGGCCAAGAAGAGGTTTTTCTTAATCATGTTCTAAGCAATATGGAAGCCCCCAAAATGTCCCTCACAGTTTACAAGGCACACATGACACTATTTATATCTAGACCTAATAACAAAACCCAAGCCCAAAACCCAAAAAAACAACATTAAACCTAACCAAAATCACATGTGATTTTGGTCCAAACAACACCAAAAATACTATGTTTTATCCTAGCCCAAGAACTCTAATAGTCTATGAAAAGCAAAGTATAAACTACAATTTATGACCTAATTGTGCTCAACGTCGTATCGTCACGGACTACAAATTATAATTTTAGAATTTTGTTTTAGCCGCTTTTGTTTATATAAAACTTACATTTTATAAATTTTAATTTTAAGTTACTACTACAAATTATCATTTAAATAAAATAAGAAACTATCGATATGTTATATCGAAACCTTTCATAATGAAACCATATCTAGCCTTAAATAGATCATAAAAATATACAAATTTAATATATTTGTGCATCTTAACCGCGAAGTTTTTTAAAGAAAATAATTTTTTCAACAAATCACTTTTTTTATATGAGCGTCTTAACCTATTAATAATAAAAATCAAATGGTTATTTTAATATTATTGTTTTTTTTAATGTGTATACGTCCACAAACAATATAAAAGAAATTATTTTCAGTAAACCTTCTAAACGTAAATATTATGACTAGTTAATATTGATATTTTATTTGAAAAAAAAAACAATCGATAAAAAATTCTTGATGCATATTTGAGTTTCACAAATTGAATCTAATGGGTGTTCAGAAGGAATTAGAAAAAAGAAAAATAAAAGAAAATAAAATAATCATGATTGCTTGGTGTAGATTATGGCAAAAATTTTGTAGGTCAATGGGTGCCTTTAACAACACCCACATAGATGAGTGGTTTCAATAAAGTTAACTTGGTCAATATAACTATAATTTATGCATAAATGATTTTAAGGCCAAGTGAGATAATATTGAAAAATAATTCAATTATGTATGTCCTTGGATCATTTATGGAATCAAATAAGTTTACAAGGTATAATTATTATTTATATCCTAAGTTTTGCCTAAATGACAATTAGGTCCCATAAGTAAGCTTTACATTAACCGAATGGATTAATTATAATAACAGACATAAGTGTCTAATGTGGATTTTTCTGACAGATATACTTTACAAATATGCAATCAATTTTTATGGGATGTACATGACGCTTTATACTCTCAACAACAGAACAACATAATCGTTGTGATTGATCGTTTTAATATTCATTACCATATGATTGCATTGTCTTGGCAAATCAACTCATCACATTGAAATGCATTAACATCATTCTCAAACTAGATAGAACTTGCAAGTCCTTATATTTATCATCACCGATTTAATTTATATCAAGTGGTATCGAATAGGTGACAAATCGTTCCATGTGGCCATTAATTCTCTACATAACGTACATGTATCTCTTTCTTGACAGTCTAGATGCTTTTCCATTCAGGAGTAAAAAGATTTTCGCTTCAATCCTTATTTTTCTCTCTATTCTCAAATTACCTCCACTGGCATATGCAAAATGATAAACCAATTAGTTTGGTTTACCTCGGATTTATACTTTTTAATTTAAAAATGAATTGAATAGAGTGATATGACATCAAATTATCTTAGGATGTTTAAAAAGTACATGAAAAAAAATGTATGATATGAAAATGCAAGGTATCAACACTACTATGAGGAATCATATATCGAACAAGTTTACAAACTTGTGAATTATATTGACAAGCTTATAAGCATCAACTATTGTTTCGAAAAGATTTTAATAAATTCAAGGAAGAAGTTCAACCTTGACTATTTTTTATGTAAAGAGAATATAGGTTACGAGGTTAGCTTCAAAAAAGGTTTTTCCTTTCACATGGATTATTCGATTGAATACGTTACAAAGCTATCCATTTGAATATGTAAAAAATTAAGCGATACTATGATACATCAAAACATGAAAAATGTCTAAACCCGACAATGTATGAATCAGTTTGATTTGAGTCTGAGAACCCAAACTCTGAGGGCTGTCACATTGCATGTGCCACAAAAAGCTTTAAAGAATAAATGTCTGCCGCACTAGAATATATCTAAACTATAGGTCTAGCTTCTATAAAAATCATTAATTCTAGTGCCACATAAGGGATCATTAACACAGAAACGAATCTAGAGGCAAAGCATATGTATATAGAAGGTCGATCTAGAATATGCATCCAACACCATAGAGAGAAGCAATACTATTTGTAATACTTGATTGACTTCCAGCTACAAGAAGGTGAGATCAGATGGGAGAGCGTTCGGTGTCATAACCAACTATCATCCGAAGATGCTTTCGTAAGAAGCCAAATGGAAGGCTTCCCTGTGATCAGTTTTAAGTTCAAAGGATACATCTCCCCCTTTCTTTTGGATTTCAGAAGCACTGCTTTTGTTTTCTTCTCAATGATTTCAGAACCCTCATCATCAAATGACACTTTCAGTCCAGCACATACAACCAATTGTGAAACACTTATTAGGTTATGTTGCAGGCCTTCTACATACCCTACCTTCCGAATGGAGAATTTGCCATTCGTAATCATCCTGTAGCCTTTAATTTCCCCTGTGGCGTTGTTTCCAAACTTTACTCTGCCATCATCTTTTATCATCCCAAATCTCTAACTCCTTCTAGAGAATTCTTCAACCCCGATTTGTATTTTAAAATACGGGCTCGTCATTGTCATCACATTCTGAAAAATCACATTGTTGTAATTTTTCGAGTCATTCTGGACATTTAGAGGCAAAGTGACCCGCTTTGTCACACTGAAAAGAAATCACCTCAGATTGGTCTTTTTCTCTATTTTTCCGATTTTTGTCACAACAACAATTATAATTTTTGCAATTAGTGGAATTGGGTTGAGTTAAATCAAAATTGGATTTGTGGTGATTGGGCTTACCCCTTTGTGATACGCGATTAGATGATTTAGGCTCACTTGACCCGTCAAACCCATTAAACCCTCTTGATCCATGATTACCAGTCGACACCCCTTTTTTCCTTTGTCGATCTTTCCTTCGCTCCACCAGACAAGCTATCGTCACCACCTCTGTCGCCACTGCTCGATGACCACAAAACCTTCGGTTCTTCTCCTGCGTTATAAGACTCCTTTACCCTCTCCTCGTAAGCTTTCGACCGCCCAACCACATCCTCGAAGCCCACTGTCTTCAGATCAAGGACCTGCTCAAGGGAGGCCACGATGTGGATGTATTTTCTTAGCAACGACTTGAGGAATTTCTTCACCATCTTTGATTCTTCAATCGTCTCACCAAGTGTTGCCGATTGTGACAAAATTCCAAACAATTTTCCGGCGAAATTGTCGATTGATTCCGACTCGGTCATCTTCAGCCTGTCGAAATCGAAATTTAGAGTTTGAAGTCGGGCTTCTTTCACCCGATCGGTGCCGACGTGCCTTGCTTTGATCGAATTCCAGATGGTTTTAGCTAATTCAACATCTCTCAGTTGCATAATCAGCGATTTTGGTATCGCTTGGTAGATCAATCGAATTGCCAGGTAATTTTTTTCTTCGTTTTCTTTTGTTCCTGGATCAATTATGGTCCATACCTTGTGAATTCTCAATACCACTTTCATCCTTAGTGACCAGACCGTGTAATTTGTTGAGTTCAGCATGGGACATGCTACGGTGGTTGACCCAATCTCCTTCGCTCTCATTGGAGGAGGCTCTGCATCCTCTTCAACATTCGACATGTTGACCTAGATTGTCAACATGTAACAAAATCAATCTCATAGCCTTAGGTTCCTTGGCTTTGATACCAATTAAAGTTTAGAAAACAAGAATGCAAAGCAAAAATAACCAAATTTGACTCTTTTATTAATTGGAAAATCACTCAAAACCAATGTTTTTACAATCTGTTCTCATAATCATAAACTCGATTATGGACATATATATACAGCCTAACAAACTAACTTGTATTAGACTAGGAAACTTATGACCAACTTACAATAAACTAAAGTTTCCATAAATTAGATTGCTTGGACCCCAAGACTTAGGATTCTAACATGAACAACCAATTGAGATCTCTGTCAAGGGAATTTTTCGATCTCTACTCAAGCACTTGAGAACCAAACAATAATTGAATTCCTACCGCTAAAAGGAAAGATTGGGCAAAACGTGCTACAAAGTTTATATATTAAAAACATGTTGCTTATTATAATTAATTCAAAATATGTCTTACTTTCACATGGATTATTCTATTGTTATAATGAAAGTGGTTTAGTTCCCCTGCTTACAAACATATTGGTCCCTAAATTATAAGATCTCATATCATTTTGTTTTACCTTCCAAAGCACGATAATTCATCTCTTGTAAGCTACACATCTTGCAATCTCTGGCCGCCAGGGTTAGTTGTGAATGTTAGAATAAACACTACAATCTGCCTGATCAAGCAGAAGTAGGGTTTCCATGTAATAGCCAACGAAGAATGAACCATAATTTCCACTAATCCCAATATTATTGATGTATCCCAAGCTGGGTTGATAGACAACAAGTGCAGCTGCTTCTTTGTAATAATCTTTCACTTCCATCATAGGTTCACCACTTTTCGTAAATCCCAGTACCCTTATTGATGCATATGGTGCATTAATGGTGAATAGCTTTTTAAACAAATTCTGAACCCCATGATCATCACCCATACATTACAAACATGATTCATCGCATTTGTAGCGTATTCAAGAACAGCTAGAGACTCCCATACCTTAGAGATGGACAAATTCATGTAAGACTGGTTTGCTAAATTCTCAGGTAGATCTACCACTATAAATTCTTCAGTAGTCATATCAAATGACATTATCATATTTTTTGTGGAAAAACCACCATCAGCAGCAACCAACTTGTCAAAAGCAAACCAAAAAATAAACCTGTCTATAACTACCTCAGACCATGTAACTTTCATCGACTTATTAGGCAGATTACTAGAAAGAATTCTCCAACTACCTTTACTCAATGAGAAAACTTCAACCACCCAAGGGACGCTAGCCCTACTTCTAATTTCCCAGTTTAGATTAACCTGTGTAATCTTCACAATCATAGGGTCGCTTCTGATAGGACAAACCCCGAATCCAAGAATGGTTTCAAGCCCCCAACGTAACACACCAGGCACAGCTACACCAACTGATTTTCTGATTGAAGGATTCCAAAGAACAGCCATCTGTCTTACAGAGTTGTGACGAGAATGACCTGGAACTCGATAATAGCCATACAAGCACAACAATCCTTGAGAGCTACCAACCACACGTGAGTCGCTAAGTACTTTAGCGAGAACAGGAAGACTCACAGCGAACCCTTGTTTGGCGAAAGTTTCATCATCAACAAATGAAACATACTTTTCCTCGGTGTCTACTGGATATTCATACCATACGATTAAACGCTGAGGCTGATTGTGGTAGATATTGTAAGCAGCAAGAAACTCACTGCTGTCGATCAAAGACTTCCATTGTTTGGAGACGGATCTGAATTGAACCAGTGACTTCACAGGAAGTCTTTTGATGATTTCTGCTTGAATTTCGTAAGGTATGTTGTCTGACATTTTGATTTTGGGAGATGGTTAGGGAGTTGAATTTCTAGGGGTTATATGAATGGAGAGACAGACAAGCAGCAATGGATGATTTAAGGATATCTTTTTTTGAATAATGGAGCGCGGCAACGTTTTCCAGGTGGCGGGAGTGATGATTATATGATTTGTCTGGAATTGAGATTTCTTTCCTTCCGAAACCGTTTACTTGGAAAGTGGGCGTTATTTTTGTAAAATGTTTAAATGAATGGTGCATGTGATTGTTTTTCGTATTCAAGCTCATATTTATATGGTAATGATCGTGAAGTGGTTTCTATGTTAAAAAAAAAGTTTATATTTGCATATAGTTTTAAGTTTATATATTCATCATTAACTCTTTATGTAAATTGTGTAATGTTCTCAAAATAGATTATTTATGTATAATTTATTAAAAATCATATGTTTCAAAATAGTAGTATTATAAATACTTGTGAGGCCCATATAATTTAAAAAAAATAAAATAAATTAAAATAAAATAAAAATTGAATATAAAGATGAAAATATTTGATAACTTTAAATTTATAAGAAAATAATAAATTAATGAGTTATTATAATAGAAATGTTTTTTATTTTTAAATTTAAACAAATAATTTAAATAAATAAAAGAAATTACTAAGCTTTAATTTTAAAAATTTTGAAATTAAAAAGTATATTCATTAATGAAATTGATATCAATTTATTACTACATTTATTGCAATTATTATATTAAAATGTTATGTACAATTTAATAAAATAGAAAAACTCATAAAATGACATGTCGAAAATAAATTAATTCAAAATAACTACAAAATGACATTTGGCAAATTGAATGAGAGTGTGACAAGTGGCAAAAAAAAAACTTCACTTATTAGAGAGGATAAAATTATTTAAAAATATTCTGTGTGTATTATGTTTGGTATATGTTCACAAGTTAACTTAGGCCGTTTATGACCGTATTATTTATTTATTTATTTATTGATTTATTAACAAAACAATATCATTGGTATGTATCACTTTGTTAATACTATTTCCCAACATTCACTACTAGAAACTTGAGCTTCAGTGACTGATTTAGCGATGGATAAATTTTGTAGCAAAGTTTTAGGCTTATAGCTAGGGATTTACAAAAGATCTGAGATATTTTAGATATTTACTTTATTTATTCAAAATATTTCATATTAGCCAAGATTTATCGAGGGATCGACTACGGATCTTGCAACTGTTTATCGATGCACCCCAATCCCTTGGTAATCGGTCGAAAATGAAAGCATTTCAGCGAGGGTTTAGCGACAGACAGAGAAATTGTCGATTTTTTCCATGTGGTATGCGTTTAGTGAGAGATCGCCAACGAAAATTATATTTGGGGTACGCACGTTTTTGTTTTACGATCACCGATCTCTGGCTGAAATTAGCACAAACCAATTCCAATTTCACGAAATTGCTATAAGTTTCCTTCCCTCCCAAATCTGGTTTATCACTCTAGAGTAAGTTCCTACGCCCTGTTTACCTAAGATCACCATCTCCGTTCAAACAGATGACCAAACAACTCACCATTGTTGCTTTTGATTCCAGCAACCTCCATAAAACCTAAAAGTAGTTTTCATTAACTTCCGATTCAGGTAAATCTCTTGATTTTCTTTTCTTTAGTCATATATTAGGATGGGTTTAGTTCAGTTACACAATATATTACGTTAGGGTTTAATTTCCCCTTATTTCTGTTTTAATCATCATCCCTCTTATACCTCAACATTACATACACGAATCACCTTGAAACGATTGCATCATGTAACTAAAACCTCTATTTATGATTCATGAATCTCATTTTCTAACTTGACATTTTCCTTCATCTCTTGAATGTTTGTCTCCAATTCAACAGGTTCTGTAGTCAAATGTTGCTTTAACTATGTTTGTCTTCAATTCAACAGGTTCTGTAGTAAAATGTAGCTTTGACTGGTGTTTCTGAGCTTCCCTCCAGTTATTTCTCAAGTGTCTATTCCAATTTTTTTCTCCTCGCCGTCAAGCTTTAAAGGTACTTCTTCATTAGATAGAGACACACAATAATACCTCATATGATAAGCATGAGGATGGAGATTCAATCAAGCAATCCTCCCATTCATTGTTTGTCATGCATACATCTCCAAAAACACAGATTTCATCATATCATATCCCACAAAAGTTTTTAGGTTCTTCCCACAGACTTATCATTCATTCATTCATCTAATTTGGCTTTCAATCTCATAAAATGCCAGCAATTGGCCATGGCATTTCCTTATTGCCATATAGTCGTCTTCTCAATAAATGATGATTAGAAGCACTCTTTCTATAAATATTACTACCTCTGTCCCAAATTAATTGTCCACATTTGACTTTTAAAGTCTTTATTCTTCAACTTTGACCTTAAATATTTTTCTTTTTTATTGATAATACTTGATGCAAAATATATGAATGGATTGTATTTTAATTTTTTTTCATTGTATAAGTTTCATTAAGTAATATATAACACAAATAAAAATATTTTAGGTCAAAGTTAAAAAAAGACTTTAAAAGTCAAAAGTGGACAATTACTTTGGGACGGAGGGAGTAATATGTTTTCATTGGTTTGATGTATGCTCCTTAGTTGCATATTCCATAATAAACTAAATAGGAATGCAAGTTTCCATGAGCTCTACATTAGTATATCCAACTTTGATTTTTGTACCCTTTTGAACTAAAATTCAACGACTCTTCTGAATCATTCTATATTGTTATGGTTACTTCATTGAAATAAATTTTTTAGGTATAATGTGTGTTTATATTTGTCCATTTCTAGATTCGTATGCATATGATTTTAGATATGTATTATTTATTGGGGAAGTTTCTTATTACGAATTTATGTGGGTTTATGCTCTTTGTTTTGGTGATTAACTTTAGGGTTTGATGAGAAACGATCCATTGACAAATGGTAAGCAAAATGATCTTGAGCTTGGAGATGCATTGTTGGTAATTTATTGTTTCTTTCCACTTCCAATTTACATCCCAATTATTTGACATAATTCCTAAGTGAAAGTCATGTTAAGGTTTTTCTAACTTCGTCTATGAAAATCCAAACAGGCTGCAAATGTGAGTTTTTTCAAAGTTCTCTCTCTGGTAAGTGTATGTTATTTCATCAGTTTGTCACTTTCAAATGTTGAATTATATTTTGTGTGTGAAGATATTAATTTGTTTATTAATCACTTAACAAGCAAAACCAGAGGCAGGAATTTTGATTATTGGTATTATCGCTTTGTTGATTGCATCCACATCAAGTATCCTAATTGTATGTCTACATCTTTTCATCTCCCTCAAAATAATTTTGTTTTTATTACATTTCAGCCAATATTTGGTGGGACAATAATTGATATTGTTTGAGGAGATCTCCAAACACGTGAACAAAATAGTAAAACAGTAAGCTTAGTCAATAGAACCATACTAGGTATCATTCTTATTGTTAACTCAACTTTGACTCATTTGTTCTAGCCTCCCTGGACGATAATTCCCACTTGTAACACAGTGACATAGATCCTCGTCTATTCCATTGAGGTAATCCTCCATGCGATTTGCCCATTGTTCGTAGTACTCTGGATAAAAGCATTGGAATCTTAGTTGAAGATCCAAGTAGATGATAAAAACCAGACATTGTGTTCATGTTAAAATTCGCCATTGTTGTAGACTGAACTGATGAAAATCTTTAGAAAAAGAAGACCTATCGGATAAATCTTCCAGAAATTGTTCAGAAAACACTCAAACAATCAAACGATTTGCAGAAAGGTAACAAATCACTCAAATAAAACTAGTTTTCTTAATCAAAAGTGCAAAAATCTTTTGAATCAGAAAGAACAACTCAAAACTTTTGCAAAATAAAATGATAAAACTTGAATTGAATGATTGTATTTTTCACAATTGGAAAAATTCTAGATCAACCAATGTCCAAACTACAACCATGTACCCGTAAATTCACAAATAGTCTAGGTCAACCATTGTAACTCATTTTGAGGTAATAAAGATATAAAATAATTAAGATGAAAATAAGCGTCAAAAATAAATATTAGATAAAGTTGATTTGTATAAATAAAGTGGTAGTGGATGTGACAAGGATTCCGGAAATATAAAGAACACCGAAATCCGAGTTATAACGAAGAAGTTATGACCTATCGAAGTTTCGCGATAGAACCGACACAATGCTGTGTGACGTAAAAAGTGAGTTTACAATCGAATGTTTTTTAGCCTTAGCAACCTAAACGAAAGTTGTAACATACGTTAAACCGAGAGCGTACATAAATAGTACGTCAAAATCTGACTTCGTATGAAGAAGTTATGAATTTTTAACGGACTTTTCCTATCCTGGTCTGTTAAAAATATAACATTAAAAATAAATTTAAAATTAGCCAACGGAGTCTAAACGAAAGTCGTAGAGTACGGTCTCACCTACACGTGGATATAAAGAACATCGAAAACGGAGCTTGTATGTGAAAGTCGTGAATTTTTGAAGTTCAAGGTCCAAATTCTGAAGCTGGTCTGAAGGGGTACGCCCCGCGTAGAGGGTTACGCCCAGCGTTCGCGTTGCATGGCCTCAGATTGACCACGTAGACTCAACCGGATCCAGAAACCTATTCGCTCCTCCTTCGCATAAGAAGACACGTCTGAAGCGAGCCACGTACCCCCTTCCGAGAGTCCGACGGGTGTCTCTTACGCCGCACGTACTGCGAGACTACGCCACACGTACTACGAGGCTTCGACCACCTATAAAAGGGTGCAAGATCTCCCGGTTTGTTTTGCCATTCTACTCCTTCTTTCACCCTAAACACCCTCTTAAACCACTCTACCCCCCCCCCCCCCCCATGCTTAGGGAACCTCCCAAACACTAGAAGAAAGCCCGGAGCACCCAGAAGTCCCCGAGAAAAGAGTTTTTCGGTTTGAAACTCGGCCTGCGTAAAGCCTGATTTTCAACAGAAAACTCACGATTTCGTCGAGGAAAATCA